TTGTTGTTGTTGTTATTGTAACGAACATTTTTTTGATAATTATTTGGACTAGCCGAATAATTATCAATCATTCTCCTATCCACTGCATCTACCCTGTTACCTCTTGTTTTCCTAGGCCGTCCCGTAGAAACAGTTTCTGCAGAGTATATAGACTCTGGTCGAGATGGTAGCAAATCCGCATATTTATCATAGACGTACTGGGGCACAGGTGGGGCGAGTCTTTCCGAACTCGCAAAGGTTTCCACAGTCCTTGTATCCGGTACACTTGTAACACCAACATTATCCGCCAGCGGACCAGAAACTGTTGGATTCAAAGTCGTGGTACGAGTAGCGTGTTTTCTTTCGCCGGAACACAACCTAACCGTTATGCATATTATAATTATGAGAATTATCCCGGCTATTGGTATTATTACCGATGCCCACATGTTAATTAGATCGGCCAAGGATGATGACGGGTTTTTTGTGAATAGGAATCGCATTTTTGGTGATGCTGATGATAAGTGTGAACTGCCTGGTATGGCATCGCGTTCGGTGGAATCAAATGCTCGCGCGCGAAATGACAATGTACGGTGTTGGAATGTATTATCTAAATATACGTTTGAGCGTGCAGTTTAGTTGTCGTTCTTGTCCCGCATATACATAATCAGTGATTTTTTAATGATAAAACATGACTTACCTTCATTAATCGAACGGTCTGTCAAAAGTCTTTTTTCTCTCCTCTTTCGCCTATCCTTGCGTCCACTCATGTGATATTTTAAATTTGATCTAGTGTATAATTGTCTTTCGCTGCTACGCTTACTCAATATTACTTTATAACCAGACGACCGTTGCCTTTTATTTACATAATATGCCAATGTATTTTCTATTTTTATATGACTGTGTTCCACGTATTTACAATTTTTAAGAGTAGCGGGCGAATTTGGTATGCAAAGCCGATCCACAATCGATTGCACGGAAGCGAGCAGCAAAGAGTGTCTCTGTATATTTGGAGATTGCAAAAGTCTATGAAATGAAATGTGCTGACAAGATATAGCTGCTGTTGGTCTTGTTGTAGGTGGAGAGGATAACGTAAAGCATCGTTGATTTTGAGCTAAAAATTACAAGATATGGCAGTTTTAGCATACGATCGTAAAAATGGTTTGATAATAACATGTATGCTTGTATTTTCTTTTACCTGTAACAGCGTACGTGTCTGCTTTTCCCAATCCTCCGATCAGTCCAAGTATTGGAATCAAGAGCCAGGACTGCCACTTCATATGTTAAAACGTTCTTTGCAAAACAAATACAGTCAACGTAAGTCACTTTCTTTAACAAGTCTAGCGAGATGTCTTTTAACACAATACATACGATGTATATTTGTATACGTAAAAAGTTTGCTTTTTTTTTTTCGAGTTTGTCGGAATAAGAAATAAAAGACCGGCTTTCTAAATGTCGGCAACTTATTAACAGTTGCTCGAAATTCGACTTGTAGGTTTTTGACAGGAAAAAAAGAGGGATTCGGCGGGTTATTTTTTGTTCCTTTCTTTTTTCACATTAATAATAGCTATTGTACAAATCGTATCAAACGATGAGAAAGTCGGTTACGATCACATACGTGTGCAGTTTTTAAGCAATCTTACAAATACGTACACAGTCCTATGCGTGTCGATCAAGAAATCGAGAACGTGAGTTTTGTGACACAGTTACAGGAAATAAATAGGATATTTCTGAATATGAAACAGATTTAGTGTCAAGAAACAACAAAAGTGAATTGTTGATTTGTTTGAAGTAATAGTCGTTTAATTTGGGAATACTTATAATGGATTAACTTTAACTAGGCTAATAATTGATGCAAGATGTCAAATGACATGCATTATATAACGTAAATCACCGTTAAGTGTAAATGACTGGTTCGTAAATGATATCTTCGGATCGCATCGATATAAATAATTGTAAATTAATATCGATTTATAATTGTATTACGGGTTAGTAATTGTGTCTTAATATAGAATAAAACCGGTTTACACTGTTAGACGTGTCAAGAGTCGTTTTCCTCCTTCCAACCTTTAAATTATGGCGATTGCCGTACACAAACGAATTATTATACGTTTGAACCAGAACCACTATTGCTCGATTAAATATCTTTTCTAAATCGAATACAACTACCAAGTTTTCGATTAGTGCGCAAGCAGACTTTGTGCAGTACCGTACCAGAAAAGGCTCTTGTTTGCTTCAGATGGGTTGAATGGAAAATTACAATGGGCAATGCACATTATTGAACGAGAAAAAAAGGCAGTTGTTGATTGAAAAACCGTTTAATACAAGAATTAATGTTTAAAACAATTTGTTTGGATTTAAATACTAAATTGGACATTCCTCATGCTGATCGTTTCGTTTTATTCTTTGTTTAGCCTCGTTTTGCTCACTTTATAGTCGATAAGGTTAGAGTGGATGCAAATTTGTAACACTAGGGACCGAAGGACGTCTTCTCGAGTTTCGTAAATCTCTTTGTTTATAAGCTTCTTTATGAGCCGTCAATTTTATAAACGTAACGTTACCTTTTCAGTAATCTTTGATTTTAATCATCAATCTCGATGAAACGATGAATATACAGGCACTCATGTTAACTGTAACCTCTTGAGCATTGACAAGTCCTATCAGTCTAAAATTAGTTTGGGAACTCGTCATCTTTACGATTAGAGTTCATTTCTGCTGACAAAGTATCGAGTCATTAAATTATTAACTACGATGCATATCCATATTAAAAGGCATGCGTATGAATTATTGGTGTTACATTCGGTTGCATCACAAACACAGGGGTGAAGAAAATTCGCATCATCGTTAGAAAATCATTATTTCAAAGGGAAAATCAGACACTTATATATAAGAATCACATGACATTATCATGCTGACGGAATACGGATTTTGAGACTTGATACTCTCTACTAAACGGTATCAGATGGTCTCATAACTTAACGCTACGTTACAAAGCCAAAATAATCTTGATTTTCATAGATTGCCCCCCAAATTTAGTGCTTTGAAATGCAGATTTATGTAACACGATTGACATTATATATTTATGTAGGGTGAGATCTTTATTATTATTCAGTGCATGTTACACGGACTTAATAAAGGGATGTCTAAAGCGGAGCAGATCCCTTGCAATTCCATTGGTCAAATTTGTATGGCAGCCAATAAAACTGCAAATACAGAATCACGTTCTGCTCCGCTTTAGTCTTTCCCCCTTTTAAAGTAATACAATCCGACATGTAGTATTATGGCCGTGTAACATGTCGGATAAATTCCCGATTATCCCAATAGCCTTACAAGCAGACATTTTTGAAAGATTCGTCTGACCTCACTCATGTGCAAGTTCGAGCGGATCCATATTATCGATTTAGCGAGATTCGCGGGGGCCAGTCAATTACGCAAGTGTATATTAATATTTATTTTTCTTTATATATCTTGGTAGCATTTATCGAGTAAAACAATGGTTTGGAAACAGGCTAGACTGGTCTCTAAAACTAGTTTATACTTGTATATCGAAATGAACTAACAACTGTGTGCAACTCGGATAATCCGGTAAATGAATAGATCATTAGCACGTAGTTTCCACCGCATAAATGACGTCTTTGCGTTGATATTGGTAAATGTCCCTTATAAAGAGACAAGATTTTATTCTCATAATTCCCCGAGTAACCCAATCCCTTTGTAATTCTAATAATAAAAGACTGCCCCGGCATACCAAATGGATTATTAAATCTCAACTGAACACAGTAAATTAAGTTGCAAAATTAATAATACCTTTTGCGAATTCTATCTAATTATAATGTCGTAATTATAAATTATCATTACCCCAAGTATAGAATGGGGCAAATCGTTCTGATTGACATGTTAGTCACTCATTAACAACCGTACGACCTTATCAGATAAGCAGACCGAAAACATGACTCGATACCCTCAAAATCGGCTAGTATGATTATAGCTCAGCCTCGATAAGCAACCGTTTGATCAATTTCGTTGAAACTGCTGTCTGATGGCTTCGAATCTTCTCGTACTATTTTCACAAGTATTATTAGCAATGCATGCAAGTGATTTTCTTTTACACAAAGTATCCGATCTCATAATCAGCAACGCATGTGGATTGTTCTGTAAGATCTTGTATGCCAATCTATTTTCTTTATTACCGTTGCTGTTACGAAATCTAAGCCCTTATGCTTTCTCATTGACTTTTAACCATATTTGTTGAATGATGTACGATGCTTGTGCATGTACAGTACAGTGCATAAATCGATGTGCCCCCCGTTTATTCCGATGTTACACGCGCATATCTTTTAGACTAAAAGCGTTAGTGTCGCAATGCGTGCTTTTTTTACACTGTTTATCTCACAATACAGTTTATGTGCGATCCGCATCAAGAACCGTATTTTATTGGACGATAACAAAAAAGAAAAAAACTTAATCGATGTCAGCAATTTCGATTTGGGTAAATTTCTAACAATCAGACTGGAAAAACACTGTATCTATTTTTACGTTACTACTGCTATTTAACGGTTACAGTCAAATAACCTGTTCCTCAAAGTAGCATAAAACTCAACAATAAATCGATTTTTGTGATAACCTTTCACTTATATCGAGCGTTTTGATCAATATTTTTGCCCATTATTTGCTTTATGCATGCTTTTGTACGAGTAGAAAATAGTAAAGTGGCGTAATTACCGCAGTAATTGGTATTTTTCCGGAACAAATGTTCCGTGATTAATAAGACAACTGACAGATTCTTGCTTCTCCGATTACTTGTTTGAACGACAAAAAAAATGGTTTACGGGACAAGTACTGAAGGTTAGAGTTCTGGCCAAAACTTTTCTTATTCTATTTGTAAGTCATTATACTTATAATCGACAAAACCTTTTTATTTAGTACACAAGCTAGCACAACAGATATCTTGCTATGGTTTACCATACGGACTATTTGGAATAATCTGCTGGTCTTTGTCAATTCTCGCAATAGCGTTAACATACGCCAATATAGCCCTGTTCACATTCTGGCGATGCTGCAAACCATACCAATCACAAAATTCATACATGGCCTTTCTTGCCGCCATTCTGACGCTGGGACCGACCACTTATACGTGCATCCGCTGTTACGGAGACTGGCCCATAGTTTTTATTGCACTAGGACAGCTTGCGCCCTGGAGTTTCAAGATGTTTAACGATGGCGCGCGGGGCCGGCAAGCGGCAGCAGAAGCGGGCGGTTACGAACAACTAGCCTCTTCGAGTTCAGACAGTGAGCCAAAATTTAACGAGTCCAGGGATGGGTTCTACATATACTTGGGTGCTATCGTAACGGTCATATTATCGATTCTCGGTTGGGCGGGCTTGACGATGCTGAGCTATGACCTAAATCGCGTAATGGAGACGTTGCATTGGGTTTGGGTAATATACGCAGTGGGTTTGATTTTATCACCCATAATAATCGTTTCGATATTTCAATCACACGACAAGTCGGAAGTTTGCTTTGCGAATGCGAGAGAATTTGTCAAGACTAATAGATTCTGTAGTATGATTTTTATGGTAATGATATTTGTAATGGCAACTTTTCATATAATTGGATCGCATATCATTCTTTCGAGGATTACTAACAATTGGAATGGACTTGCTCCTCAAGGAGCCGGGTTAATATCTTCGGTTGTTTTCTTTTTGGGAAAACGTCTATTGTTCTTTGATGTTGATTGTAATTGTGGTTAATTAGTATTAGCATAATTTTGAAAACTCTTATTTCTCTTTCTCTTTTTCCCAAGACTAATTTAGTATGCAAATGCTATCAGAAAGCAAGTACACATAATATGTCATCTTTGACGACTCGAAGTTTAATTTGCATGTCACGTGTACTCTAATAAACTATTGTCATGTGAGAATTCAAAGCATAATATGTTACATAGTTAGCCGTTGGAGATGTTGATATTCTAGTAGCAGCATTTCAGCTACTATTACAGTTTCGTCAATAGACCGAGTCTTTTTGAAAGCTTATTGAATAAAGCACCGACTCTATTATTTTTAATTGTGCATTATTATTACCAAAATTGCAAAATGTGGTTGATCGAATCACTAGTATACTAGTAAGCTCTCTCTGTAAAACCCAATACATTATTTATTTCTTACAGCAACCAATCTAATTCTCATAATTCCAGTCGAGTCTTAGTTCTTGACACTATATTTGACGTGTGTGTGAAAACATTTTCATAATGCAGACTATGAAGAATATTATAATGCAGAAGAGAGATTTAATTCATACCATGTATTAACTGGTGCTAAAAATATTGGCGAGCAAATTTCCTGACACAACGCACGATAAGATTAACTCGTTTTAAATAATTTATACCTGTACAAGAAATGACCAAGATATTTTTTGCAAACCCTGTATGGTGCTTGTCAGATTACATTGTAGTAACAGAATTCCAAACGCATAAAGTTTACTGATAAACATGGTTGATTTAATAGTATCCCGATTAGAATAACTGTTAATCAAAATAAGGAAAAAAGATCAGAACTTGTTTGTATTCTTTTCACAAACAGATCGAATCATTGTTGCTGGTCATACTGTATATTGTACGTACCTACCATGACATAAAATATAATACGTTGAGAAATCACTATTACTATATCTAATCAAAATGTCATTATATTTAATTTTATTTGCTGGATTTGTAATGCGTGCGCAATGTGGTGGGGAAAAACTAAAAAAATATTTTGAAAAACACAATTAGTGACAAAGGACAAACTGAGAAACCCAGGAAGGAAAACAAGTTAATAAATTAAACTTAGCAGAAAGAACTTGCCTTCAACCGATGGTAGGCTGGGAGTAAAATATGACTAGGGTATCAAAATGTGTTTTACTTATAGCGGCTTTGGCTTTTCTCAAACGGCCTTTAATGTTATTGCTCCTTGACGAGTCTTTTAACGGTTGTCTAATTTCAGCAAACAAACAAACGATTAATGTCAAAATACAAAGAGCGAGCAGTGTTAATAGTCTCTCCAAAAATTATGAAAGAACTACTTCGACTGGCAAAAACTTTCGGTCTTGATGCAACTATAAACAAAACAATTACCTTGTAAATAATTAACTATATTCTGTTTAACGCATCGCTACTTCTAAATGAAAAGTAAAAAATTTAAACAAACGGTTAATTATTTACTATTTACTACTACTCATTCTTCGCTATTCACTATTCGATACCTGATCTTGAATTCAGTACCTAGCGTTTATTTACAAAAAAAAATATAAAATATTATACGCGACAAAAAGATCGTTACTTGGATGGTATTATCTGCTCACTGAATGCTGGTGGTTATGCCTGCGTAATTAAGTTTCTACTCTGAGTGCAGTAATACCTATTCATAATGTCATCGTTGTTATCTTCCAAGAACTAAAAGTGGCTAACGTCAATACAATTGCGTTCGTCGGATGTATGTCAAGTTAAATTTATTAAGTGCAGAAATATATGCTGTATGATGTCAACAAACGACTCTAATTATTCCCAGCTTTATGTAAATGAATTAGGTAATAGAGAGGATGAGAGAGAATAGTTTGTAGATTCTCTATTTCAAGTGGTTTATACTATTATCAATGGAGAGGTTATTTAGAAGAAAATTTAACAACATTTCAGGATAATACACGGCTCAGTGTTGCTTGGCCAGCAGCAAAAATACATACGCTAGTATTTTTTCCTCACCCAAACCTGTTACAGTCTCATCCGATTTTCTGTAAACTTATAGACAAAGACTGCTGAAGGGTGGATCAATGGACAAGACCGGAGATCATATACAATCATTCATAACAAATATAGTAAAACCAGTTGTATATGATTTTCCCTGAAGAGGCAATTGAAAGGTCAAAGTGTCAAATTGCGTCATTTAGCCACAATCACTTACGCCTCGACTGCGCCCAATCGTATTGTATTGAAGAAAGAACAGTAAAGGTAACATTTGCGGTTTTTGCAATAACAGACAGAGTTCATTTCCGTCGGTAATATTAAATTTAGCAGTTACGCCACTATACTGGCCTCCATTATCGTCATGCACATGACAAAGAAGAATTGAATTGTTTTGACCAAGTTGATTATCTTGAGCAGCCATGGCTAATTTTAGAACACGAATTTATAGTCAAGATCGACAGCGATCACTGGCATAGTTGGGGAAAGTGAGCATTTATCCGCATAGTCTTGAAACACGATAGAAATTACAATGTCATAAACCGAACTATTACGGAAAAAACGGGCAGATAAATACTTGATGATCATAGTGACCATGAATTGGTTAAGGATCATTGTCGAATAGTAATTTGTCAAGTCGAATTATTTCACATGCTCGTGAGCCAAAAGAATTTCTCACAATTACTGCTGTCGTTGGAGCTTCTTTACATACATATAATAAACGTTCAGCAGAAGGGTCAACTCGAAAGTATTGATACTAAACCGGTTGTAGAAAATTTGTGCATTGTATGTGCTGTAAATCATGATCAACAACGATTGCGCAAGATCACACAAGCACAATGCAATACGTCTTAGTTGCATTTGGTATTGATGTATTGAGAGCCCACACAATTATGAAAACAAAAGAACAAAGACATAAGCAAAGATACAGTATAACATACACTGTTAATTTTGATACGATGATAACTTCATACTCTTTACGACGTTGTTGACATTTTCTCTGCATTAGGGAACGCAATACTGATTTGGGGTTCTATGCATGTGTTTTATTAATAGCACATGTTTAGTGGTCAGAGAAAAATCTGTCCACTTGTCTTAAAAAAGATATCGAATCGACATATTAGTATGGCTGTTCCATTCAAACGTTGTGAATACACAAACACAACAGTTTGTTTCAGAGCATTTTTAATACAGCGTTTCTTCTTCCGATACTCAGTTGTTCATTTCCAGCTTGCGTCAAAAGAGTACAGTGCAAAAAAAAAAAAAGATTAATTACTACTGTTTTCACAAGCGTAGTCGAAAGCAAAAAGAAAAATAAAGCTCGAAATGGAATCTCATTGCTTGGACATTTACTTTATAATCCGCAGAATGGGTTTTTGCTTTTTGCGGTATACGAATTTGTACATCAGACAGGGCGACACAAACAGATATAGATGTTAAATAGAACTTTCTTTAAATGTATTTATTTTTAGCTAATTCATACTACTGTCTCACCAATTCGAATCTGTGTAATAAATAGACCCCTATTCGAGTATTAAAGAAATACGTTTGATCTATTTTAATGACAAGAGCGTTATAATGTACATATCCGGAAGATTTGCTCCGGTCAAATTGAGTCTTTTGTTATAATCAATGTCTGCTTTTAGGTTTGTTTACTTGTAAATCACAATTATAAACACACCGACAATAAAGCGAATCTATTTCAAATATTGCTGCCCGTCGTTTGAATTGTAATAAATCGTTCTGCAGGAGATAATCATAAATTCATAGTACAGCAAAAAGCTGCGGGTTCATTGATCAACAATGTTCAACAAAGACGTATTTACAGTAGACAAATTGTCTTGTGTCTACCATTTTTGCTATTGTTTGCATGTTTTTGTACATGTCGTACGGATTTTGCATATTTAGCAAATTGTAATTTAAACATCGTAACACTAGTCAAAAATTTATTTAAAGGAATGTCCTGAGATGACAACATTTCAAGGAATTCAAAGTAATCCTAGTAACGCAGTAAAGAATTCCCAGTTTCTATTGAGTTTGGATCGTTTACGAAAATTTTCAACCATGATTGCTTCTAGTCGTTCTTGTCTCTATTTCGTTGTGCTTTTGATTGTAGTCTTTCTGACTTCCCCCTCGGCATCCTACGAGTGTTTTGATACAAAAAGTGCATTTGAAATTTTCAATTTAAGCCCATGTACTTCTACAGCTAATGCTTATTCCAAATTAACCTCCCCAAAATTCAAAAATTGGAATAATACCAACAATAATGCAACTGACGACAACGCCTTTGAATTGTCTTTCACTTGTGATCCAACAATGGATGCCCAAACCTGCAACAAAGCACGCCAGTCTTTCATCGATGCTGGAGCGTTACTGAGCAAAATATTCAAATTTCCACAAAAAATCACGGTAGTTGCAGAATTTGCGGATCTGTGCAAGACTTTAGGGGGGTGTACCGCGGATAGCACTATTGGTAAGTTGAAATGAACTATTTGTAGTACAATTGTTGAGTCGAGAAATTAAATTTTAACCGTTTCCCCCTCCCCTCCCCTTATTACTATTATTAGTTGGAGCAGCGGGTCCATCCCGGTTTTTCTCAATGAAAGGCGAAGACGGTGCAGTTCGGCTCTATCCCCAAGTATTAACAAAGTTTGCCAACCCGACAGGCCCGGTACCTTTTGATACGCACGACATAATAGCCTCCTTCAACAGCAAACTAGCACCTCAATTTTTCTTCCCGGGTGATGAAAACATTAAATCAAATCAAATCGATTTTGTTGGTGTTATCGCACACGAATTTTGTCATGGATTGGGTTTCTTTTCATCTTGGGAACCGTCTGGTGTCGACAACGTGGTAACACCAGCCATCATTATTGATTCTACAAATAAATTGCGCGTGCGTGAAACCATCTTTGATCAATTTCTGATTCGAACCGCAGATGGTAAAAAGCTATCAGATTTTACAGCAGCATTTGAAAAAGCCATTGATGGACAGACATTTACTACTAATGCGGCACTAGCCAGCATTATTGAACAAACTGCTTCTGACAATCAGATAACGACTACGACAGACTTTATCACCGCAAATGCAGTTGGATTTTTGCCGAAAGGAAAAACAGATACAGAAGATGCTGTAATACTAGAGACAAGTCTCAACCCATAT